GACGCAAGACGAGGACACGAAGGACGCAAGATGAGGACACAAAGGACACGAGACAAGGACACGAAGGACACGAAGGACGCAAGACGAGGACACGAAGGACATGAAGGATGCAAAGGACATGAAGGACGCAAGACAAGGACATGAAGGACGCAAGATGAGGACACAAAGGACTCTAAAAACTCTAAAAACTCTAAAAACTCTAAAGTCTTTAAAAACTCGTTTTTATTCACTTCAACGACAAACCAGACTACAGACAGGTGCGACAGGTGACACAGATGAGACAGGTGCAACAGGTGACAGGTGAGACAGGTGTGACAGGTGAAACAGATGAGACAGGTGAGACAGGTGAGACAGGTGAGACAGGTGAGACAGGTGTGAGAGGTGAAACAGATGACAGATGTGACAGGTGACGCAGCTGAGACAGGTGACAGGCGAGACAAGTGACAGGTGAGACAGGTGCGACAGGTGACAGCTGACACAGGTGAGACAGGTGAGACAGGTGCAACAGGTGACACAGATGAGACAGGTGACAGGTGAGACAGGTGAAACAGATGACAGGTGTGACAGGTGACAGGTGAGACAAGTGCAGGCGAGACAAGTGCGACAGGTGAGACAGGTGCGACAGGTGACAGCTGACACAGGTGAGACAGGTGCGACAGGTGAGACAGGTGACACAAATGAGACAGGTGACAGGTGAGACAGGTGAAACAGATGACAGGTGTGACAGGTGACAGGTGAGACAAGTGACAGATGAGACAGGTGTGACAGGTGACAGCTGACACAGGTGCGACAGGTGCGACAGATGAAAGGTGACACAGGTGACACAAATGAGACAGGTGCGACAGGTGCGACAGGTGCGACAGGCGCGACAGGTGAGACAGATGAGACAGGTGACACAAATGAGACAGGTGAGACAGGTGCGACAGGTGCAACAGGTGCGACAGGTGCGTCAGGTGCGACAGGTGCCAGTACCTTGACGGAGTAGGCGAGGCTGATGGTGACCGCCAGGGGCAGCCCTTCCGGCACGGCGACCACGAGGACGGTGACGCCGATGATGAAGAACTTGACGAAGTACTGGATGTAGATGGGCGTGCACTCTGCCACCCAGCTCCGCCCCTGAACCCCGAACGTGTCAATCACAAAGTACAGGATCAAGATCACCACGGTAACGGCCGACATGATCAGACCTGGAACACCACAACCACAGACCGGGTTTAGACCGGGTTTAGTCCTGGTTTAGTCCTGGTTTAGACCTGGTTTCTGGTTTAGCTGGTTTAGTCTGGTTTAGTCCTGGTTTAGCCTGGTTTAGTTCTGGTTTAGTTTCTGGTTTAGACCTGGGTTTTTAGTAGACTGTTTAGTCTTTAGTTCCCTGGTTTAGACCTGGTTTAGACCTGGTTTAGACCTGGTTTAAGTCCTGGTTTAGCTGGTTTAGTTCTGGTTTAGTTCTGGTTTAGACCTGGTTTAGTTGGTTTGTCCTGGTTTAGTTCTGGTTTAGTGTTTAGACCTGGTTTAGTTCTGGTTTAACCTGTTTAGTCCTGGTTTTAGTTTCTGGTTTAGTTCTGGTTTAGACCTGGTTTAGTCCCTGGTTTAGACCTGGTTTAGTCCTGGTTTCCTGGTTTAGTCCTGGTTTTCCTGGTTTAGTCCTGGTTTAGTCCTGGTTTAGACCTGGTTTAGTCCTGGTTTAGGAGTCCTGGTTTAGACCCTGTTTTAGGTTTAGACCTGGTTTAGACCTGGTTAGTTCTGGTTCTGGTTTAGTTCTGGTTTAGCCTGGTTTAGTCCTGGTTTAGTTCTGGTTTAGACCTGGTTTGGACCTGGTTTAGTCCTGGTTTAGTTCTGGTTTAGACCTGGTTTAGTTCCTGGTTTAGACCTGGTTTAGTCCTGGTTTAGTTCTGGTTTTCTGGTTTAGTAGTTCTGGTTTAGTCCTAGTTTAGACCTGGTTTAGCTGGTTTAGACCTGGTTTCTGGTTTCCTGTTTTAGACCTGGTTTAGTGGTTTAGTTAGACCTGGTTTAGTTCTGGTTTAGACCTGGTTTAGTCCTGGTTTAGTTCTGGTTTCTGGTTTAGACTCCTGGTTTACTGGTTTAGTCCTGCTTTTAGACCTGGTTTAGTCCTGGTTTAGTCCTGGTTTAGTCCTGGTTAGTCTGGTTTAGTCCCTGTTTAGTCTGGTTTAGTTTAGTTCTGGTTTACCTGGTTTAGACCTGGTTTAGTTCTGGTTTAGTTTCTGGTTTAGACCTGGTTTAAGTCCTGGTTTAGTTCTGGTTTAGACCTGGTTTAGTTCTGGACCTGGTTTCCTGGTTTAGTCCTGGTTTAGTTTAGACCTGGTTTAGACCTGGTTTAGTCCTGGTTTAGTTCTGGTTAGGTTTAGTTCTAGTTTCTGGTTTAGTCCTGGTTTTAGACCTGGTTTAGTTCCTGGTTTAGACCTGGTTTAGACCTGGTTTAGTTCTGGTTTAGACCTGGTTTAGTCTGGTTTAGTTCTGTTTAGTTTGGTTTAGACTGGTTTAGTCTGGTTAGTCCTGGTTTACCTGGTTTAGTCCTGGTTTAGTTCTGGTTTAGTCCTGGTTCTGGTTTAGTTCGTTTCTGGTTTAGTCCTGGTTTAGTTCTGGTTTAGTCCTGGTTTAGTCCTGGTTTAGTCCTGGTTTAGACCTGGTTTAGTTCTGGTTTAGACCTGGTTTAGTTCTGGTTTAGCTGTTTAGACCTGGTTTAGTTCTGGTTTTCTGGTTTAGACCTGAGTTTAGTTCCTGGTTTAGTCCTGGTTTAGTCCTGGTTTAGTAGTCCTGGTTTAGTCTGGTTTAGTCCTGGTTTAGTCCTGGTTTACCTGGTTAGTTCTGGTTTAGTTCTGGTTTAGACCTTTACCTGGTTTAGTCCTGGTTTAGTTCTGGTTTAGTTCTGGTTTAGGTTTAGTTCTGGTTTAGACCTGGTTTTCCTGTTCTGTTTAGTTCTGGTAGTTCTGGTTTAGTTCTGGTTAGTTCTGGTTTAGTCCTGGTTTAGTCCTGGTTTAGTTCTGGTCTTGTTTTGTTCTCGTCTATTTTTACCTCGACTTATTTTTATCTCAGAAAGAAAAAACTTCAAACGAACGAATCCAACAAACAAAACACCGACACACCTGTCACACATGTCCCTGAAGTCACACTGTCCACTGTCCCACACTGTCCCTGAACACACTCCCAGTCACACTGAACACAAGTCACACTGTCCCATCACACTGTCACACTGTCCCAGTCACACTGTCAGTCACAGTCACACTGTCCAGTCACACTGTCCACTGTCACACTGTCCCAGTCACACTGTCCCAGTCACACTGTCCCTGAACACACTGCCCCAGTCACACTGTCCCTCACACCCTGCCCCAGTCACACTGCCCCAGTCACACTGTCCCCAGTCACACTGTCCCTGAACACACTGTCCCAGTCACACTGTCCCTGAACACACTGCCCCAGTCACACTGCCCCAGTCACACTCCCCAGTCACACTGTCCCTGTGAACACACTGTCCCAGTCACACTGCCCCAGTCACACTGCCCCAGTCACACTGCCCCAGTCACACTGTCCCTGAACACACTGTCCCAGTCACACTGTCTCAGTCACACTGTCACCTGTCACACAGTCACACTGCCCACACGTCACACTGCCCCAGTCACACTGCCCCAGTCACACTGTCCCAGTCACACTGTCCCTGAACACACTGCCCCAGTCACACTGTCCCTGAACACACTGTCCCAGTCACACTGTCCCTGAACACACTGCCCCAGTCACACTGCCCCAGTCACACACTGTCCCAGTCACACTGTCCCTGAAGTCACACTGTCCCTGAACACACTGCCCCAGTCACACTGTCCCAGTCACACTGTCCCTGAACACACTGCCCAGTCACACTGCCCCAGTCACACTGTCCCCGAACACACTGCCCCAGTCACACTGCCCCAGTCACACTGTCCCAGTCACACTGCCCCAGTCACACTGTCCCTGAACACACTGCCCCAGTCACACTGCCCCAGTCACACTGTCCCTGAGTCATGTTTTTGTGTTTTTATGGAGAATTGTCGTGTGGGGTCGTGGGGGACGTAGATTTGTGGGCGGAGCCTCGTACAGACCCGTAGGAGGGTTTGAATTGGACCCAGGGAGAGATCACTAGATGACTCAAACATGCACGGAGGACTCTAGAACCTCTTCAGGCAGGTTTGTGATGAGGAACAACGACGAGAGAACAACAAAAACAAGTCATGAGTCAGAGTCCAGGTCCTAGTCCAGGTCCTAGTCCAGGTCCCAGGTCCCGGTCCAGTCCAGGTCCAGGTCCTAGTCCAGGTCCCGGTCTAGTCCTAGTCCCGGTCTCGGTCCTAGTCCAGGTCCCGGTCTCGGTCCTGGTCCAGGTCCCGGTCTCGGTCTCGGTCCCGGTCCCGTCCCGTCTCGTACCGGCTTTCCCGATCTGCACGGCGAGCCTGGTGAGTTTGCCCTGGAGCACGGACTTCTCCTTCTTGGTGACGTTGACCTTCTTGACGGGTTTGGCCTCCTCCTTCTCCTCGACCTCGCCCGCCTCGCCCGCCTCGCCCGCCTCCTCGCTCTTCAGAGGCTGGATCTCCAGAGCGATGCCGTCCTTCGTAGGAGCTGAGGACACAAGGAGGTGAGGAGGAAGGACACGAGGAAGGAGAAGGAGGTGAGGAGGAAGGACACAAGGAAGGAGACAAGGAAGGAGGTGAGGAGGAAGGAGACAAGGAAGGAGACGAGGAAGGAGACAAGGAAAGAGGTGAGGAGGAAGGAGACAAGGAAGGAGGTGAGGAGGAAGGACACAAGGAAGGAGACAAGGAAGGAGACGAGGAAGGAGACAAGGAAAGAGGTGAGGAGGAAGGAGACAAGGAAGGAGGTGAGGAGGAAGGACACGAGGAAGGAGGTGAGGAGGAAGGAGACAAGGAAGGAGGTGAGGAGGAAGGAGACAAGGAAGGAGGTGAGGAGGAAGGAGACAAGGAAGGAGGTGAGGAGGAAGAAGGAGAAGGAGATGAGGAAGGAGGTGAGGAGGAAGGAGTAGGTAGGTGGGGGGCGGGTTAGGTGGGGGGGCGGGGTTAGGTGGGAGGGGGCGGGGTTAGGTGAGAGTTAGCGTCTGCAGTGAAGCTGAAGCAGAAACAGAAGCAAACGAACGTCTCCTCACACACAAACTAAACCAGACTAAACCAGGACTAAACCACTAAACCAGACTAAACCAGGACTAAACCAACTAAACCAGGACTAAACCAGGACTAAACCAGGACTAAACCAGGACTAAACCAGAACTAAAACCAGGACTAAACCAGGACTAAACCAGACTCTAAACCAGACTAAACCAGGACTAAACCAGGACTAAACCAGGACTAAACCAGGACTAAACCAGGACTAAAACCAGGACTAAACCAGGACTAAACCAGGACTAAACCAGGACTAAACCAGGACTAAACCAGGACTAAACCAGACTAAACCAGACTAAACCAGGACTAAACCAGGACTAAACCAGGACTAAACCAGGACTAAACCAGGACTAAACCAGACTAAACCAGGACTCTAAACCAGACTAAAGACTAAACCAGGACTAAACCAGGACTAAACCAGACTAAACCAGGACTAAACCAGTGACTAAACCAGGACTAAACCAGATCTAAACCAGGTCTAAACCAGGACTAAACCAGGAACTAAACCAGACTAAACCAGGACTAAACCAGGACTAAACCAGACTAAACCAGGTCTAAACCAGGTCTAAACCAGGACTAAACCAGGACTAAACCAGGACTAAACCAGACTAAACCAGGACTAAAACCAGGATCTAAACCAGGGACTAAACCAGGACTAAACCAGGACTAAAACCAGACTAAACCAGGACTAAACCAGGAACTAAAACCAGGACTAAACCAGGACTAAACTAAACCAGGACTAAACCAGGAACTAAACCAGGACTAAACCAGGACTAAACCAGGACTAAACCAGGACAGGACTAAACCAGGACTAGGACTAAACCAGGACTAAACCAGGACTAAACCAGGACTAAACCAGGACTAAACCAGGACTAAACCAGGACTAAACCAGGACTAAACCAGGACTAAACCAGGACTAAACCAGGACTAAACCAGGACTAAACCAGGTCTAAACCAGGACTAAACCAGGACTAAACCAGGACTAAACCAGGACTAAAACCAGACTAAACCAGGACTAAACCAGGACTACCTAAACCAGGACTAAACCAGACTAAACAAGGACTAAACAAGGACTAAACAAGGACTAAACCAGGACTAAACCAGACTAAACCAGACTAAACCAGGACTAAACCAGACTAAACCAGACTAAACCAGGTCTAAACCAGACTAAACCAGGACTAAACCAGGACTAAACCAGATAAACCAGGACTAAACCAGGACTAAACCAGGTCTAAACCAGACTAAACCAGACTAAACCAGGTCTAAACCAGACTAAACCAGACTAAACCAGGACTAAACCAGGACTAAACCAGGACTAAACCAGACTAAACCAGGACTAAACCAGGACTAAACCAGGACTAAACCAGGACTAAACCAGACTAAACCAGGACTGAACCAGGACTAAACCAGGGACTAAACCAGGACTAAACCAGGACTAAACCAGGACTAAACCAGGACTCTAACCAGACTAAACCAGGACTAAACCAGACTAAACCAGGACTAAACCAGGACTAAACCAGGACTAAACCAGGACTAAACCAGGACTCTAAACCAGACTAAACCAGGGACTAAACCAGGATCTAAACAGGACAGGACTAAACCAAACCAGGACTAAACCAGGACTAAACCAGGACTAAACCAGGACTAAACCAGGACTAAACCAGACTAAACCAGGACTAAACTAAACCAGGACTAAACCAGACTAAACCAGGACTAAACCAGGACTAAACCAGGACTAAACCAGGACTAAACCAGGACTAAACCAGGACTAAACCAGGACTAAACCAGGACTAAAACCAGACTAAACCCTAAACCAGGACTAAACCAGGTCTAAACCAGGACTAAACCAGGACTAAACCAGGTCTAAACCAGGAACTAAACCAGGACTAAACCAGACTAAACCAGTCTAAACCAGGACTAAACCAGGACTAAACCAGGACTAAACCAGAACTAAACCAGGACTAAACCAGGACTAAACCAGACTAAACCAGAACTAAACCAGGACTAAACCAGGACTAAACCAGATCTAAACCAGGTCTAAACCAGGACTAAGCCAGATCTAAACCAGGACTGAACCAGAACTAAACCAGAACTAAACCAGGTCTAAACCAGGACTAAACTAGGACTAAACCAGGACTAAACCAGAACTAAACCAGGTTTAAACCAGGACTAAACCAGGACTAAACCAGGTCTAAACCAGGACTAAACCGGAACTAAACTCAGACTAAATCAAGGAGTAAACCACCTCTAAACCGGGTCTAAACTAGGTCTAAAACCAGGTCTAAACCGGGTCTAAACCGGGTCTACATCAGGACCGTGTGCGTGCGTGCGGAGTTCAGATCAAACATGGACCAAAGTAAAGTCGTCCTGGAGCGTTCGGACGAGTTTGGACGGAGACACTCAAGAGTCAGAGAGAAAAAAACAGAAGCCACAAGTTTGACACAGAAAAAAAAACGTCAGAAAAAAGGTCCAGACACAGAGCAGAGCCTCGAGAGCCAATCACAGCACAGGACACACGCCGCACTGCACCATGGGAAAAAACACGCTCGGCGGAGGGGGGAGGGGGGGGAGGGCGGGGGGAGCGAGGGGGGAGCGGGGGGGGGGGGGGGGGGCAGGAAGGACACCCCAAAACAAACAGGAAGTGTGCAGGAAAAAAAAATACAGCGAAAACATGGAGACGCAAAAGAAAAAGAAAAAAAAAAAAACCCCAACAGCAACAGACACATCACATGAGACTAGAGAGGAGGAAGAAGAGGAGAGGAGAGGAGGAGGAGAGAGGGAGGAGGAGGAGGAGGAGGAGGAGGAGGAGGAGGAGGAGGAGGAGGAGGAGGAGGAGAGGAGGGAGGAGGAGGGGAGGAGGAGGAGGAGGAGGAGGAGGAGGAGGAGGGAGGAGGAGGAGGAGGAGGGGGAGGGGGGAGTAACCGCACCATCTGCCTGAGGTGGAGCCTGTGTCAGGTGTTGTGTTCTAATGTGCAGATGTTCCTCATGTTCTCTGTGACCTTTGTAGAGTGAACTGTGTAGAGTGAAATATGTAGAGACCTAAAACTGTGTAGAGTGACCTGTGTAGAGTGACCTTTGTAGAGTGATCTGTCTAGAGTGAATTGTGTAGAGTGAAATATGTAGAGTGAACTGTGTTGAGTGAAAATATGTAGAGTGACCTACACAGAGTGAATTGTGTAGAGTAAACTGTGTTAGAGTGACTTTTTAGAGTGACTGTAGAGTAAACTTGTAGAGTGATCTTTTTAGAGATCTGTGTAGAGTAAACTGTGTAGAGTGATCTTTATAGAGTGATCTGTGTAGAGTAAACTGTGTAGAGTGATCTTTTTAGAGTAGAGTAAACTGTGTAGAGTGATCATAGAGTACTGTGTGAGTGACCATTGTAGAGTGACCTACATAGAGTAAAATATGTAGAATGAACTGTGTAGAGTGAAATAGGTAGAGTGACCTTTCTAGACTGATCTGTGTAGAATGAACTGTGTAGAGTGACCTACATAGAGTAAACTGTGTAGAGTGACCTGTGTAGACCTGTGTAGAGTGAACTGTGTAGAGTGACCTTTGTAGAGTGATCTGTCTAGAGTGAATTGTGTAGAGTGACCTGTGTAGAGTGACCTTCGTAGAATGACCTTCATAGAGTAAACTGTGTAGAGTGATCTTTTTAGAGTGATCTGTGTAGAGTGACCATTGTAGAGTGACCTACATAGAGTAAAATATGTAGAATGAATTGTGTAGAGTGAAATAGGTAGAGTGACCTTTCTAGAGTGATCTGTGCAGAATGAACTGTGTAGAGTGACCTTTGTAGAGTGACCTGTGTAGAGTGACCTTTGTAGAGTGACCTGTGTAGAGTAAACTGTGTAGAGTGACCAGTGTAGAGTGAACTGTGTAGAGTGACCTTTGTAGAGTGAACTGTGTAGAGTAAACTGTGTAGAGTGACATTTGTAGAGTGACCTGTGTAGAGTGACCTTTGTAGAGTGACCTTGTGTAGAGTGACCTGTGTAGAGTGACCTGTGTAGAGTGATCTTTGTAGAGTAAACTGTGTAGAGTGAACTGTGTAGAGTGACCTGTGTAGAGTGATCTTTGTAGAGTAAACTGTGTAGAGTGAACTGTGTAGAGTGACCTGTGTAGAGTGATCTTTGTAGAGTAAACTGTGTAGAGTGAACTGTGTAGAGTGATCTTTGTAGAGTAAACTGTGTAGAGTGATCTTTGTAGAGTAAACTGTGTAGAGTGAACTGTGTAGAGTGATCTTTGTAGAGTAAACTGTGTAGAGTGATCTTTGTAGAGTAAACTGTGTAGAGTGAACTGTGTAGAGTGATCTTTGTAGAGTAAACTGTGTAGAGTAAACTGTGTAGAGTGACCTGTGTAGAGTGATCTTTGTAGAGTAAACTGTGTAGAGTGATCTTTGTAGAGTAAACTGTGTAGAGTGAACTGTGTAGAGTGACCTGTGTAGAGTGATCTTTGTAGAGTAAACTGTGTAGAGTGATCTTTGTAGAGTAAACTGTGTAGAGTGAACTGTAGAGTGAACTGTGTAGAGTGAAAAGTCAAGTCTATATAAAAAAAAACCCCTCCTATGTCATATTTAATGTTTATAAAGTTGCTCCGGTGCGTTTGACCCAGAGGACAGATGTGGGTTAGGGTCAGAGGAGGGTCAGAGGAGGGTCAGAGGTGAGAGGTCAGAGGGTGAGAGGGTGAGGAGGGTGGGGTGGGGGTGGGGGGGGTTACCTTTGTTGCGATTTTCGGGGGGTCCGGGTTTTTTACCTGTTCAACAGAGAGAGAGGGGGAGGGCTGAGCATGGACCAAACAAAACCACGACCAAAACCACGACCAAAAACCACGACGGAAACCAAAGGAACAAGTCTCCTGTGTGTGCGCTGTGGCAGGAATGGACCAATCAGAGCAGAGAGACACGGACACGCCCACCCCCCCCCACCCCACCAACTCACAGCCAATCACAGGTCACCACGCTCTGTTTACGATCGGACCGGCTTTAGTCCCGGCTTAGTCCAGCTAGACCCAGGAGAGGACTAAAGTGGTTCTTCACTAGAGGTTCTTTCACACCGACGGCAACGTTCCACTGGATCCAGAAGCTCTTTCTTGGGTTGGTTTATGTCGGTTTTTGTTCGTTCTCATTGGTTCTTGTTGGTTTTCGTCAGTTTTCGTCGGTTTTCTGTTTCTCTGTTTACGGTCTGTTTACAGTTTTCGTCGGTTTTCATTGGTTTACGTAGTTTTTTGTCAGTTTTTGTCGGTTTACGTCGTTTTTTGTTTGTTCTCATTGGTTCTTGTTGTTTTTTATTGGTTTTCGTCTGTTTATGTCGGTTTACGTCTGTCTACAGTTTTCGTCGGTTTTCATTGGTTTACGTAGTTTTTTGTCAGTTTTCGTCGGTTTACATCAGTTTTTGTTCGTTCTCATTGGTTCTTGTTGGTTTTTATTGGTTTTCGTCAGTTTTCATCTGTTTACGTCTGTTTATGTCGGTTTACGTCTGTTTACGTCTGTTTATGTCTGTTTGTCGGTTTACAGTTTGACGGTTTTAATTGGTTTACGTAGTTTTTTGTCAGTTTTCGTCGGTTTACGCCGGATTTCGTCGGTTTACATTGGTGTGAAAGCTTCAGTCGCACTCGGGATCTGCACTGTACGCTCAAACGCTTGACTCCGCACCAAATGCCAACCTCTGGTCCTTCTGGTGAGACGCCAACTCGGGTCCAAACCAGGGACGGTAGATCCAAACCAACTATTCCAGATGCACCGTGGGAGGGGAGACTCGGACTCCCGAACTGAGCGCGCCAACCCTGCCCCGCGGTCGCCGGTCCGTAAGGTTTGTGAGTCCGAGCTCCCCGGGTCAGCGAGGTTCTTCGGCGGGTTTGAGAAACCGTGTCTGCTCAGGAAGAGAGGGACCGGCCTCGCTCCCAAGACGTCCGGCGGGCGTTCCAGTGTCCCTGAGCGGAAAAAACTGGAGTCTTTGATACACATGCCTGAAGACGAACGAAGAATCAAACTAGAGGAGTGAAAGAACCCTAGAACTACACCAAGATCAGGACTAAACCAGGACTAAATCAGGACTAAACCGGGTCTGACTGGCGGGGTCTCGTCTCTCTGCCGTGAGCGTTCATTCCGTCGTATTAATGGATGCCTGATGAACTCAAACTTCAGCCAATCAGAACTCATGATCGACACAACAAACCGAAAGGGGCGGGGCTTAGGGGTCAAACAGGGTCAAACAGAGGTCAAACGGGGTCACAGCCACAGCACAAAGCAAATCAAAGCGCTAAAAATCCAATAACACCAGCCCCTCGGGATCACCACGCCCTGCGCTAACAGGTCGCTCAACAGTCTGCTTCAGGTCATGTGATGTCTCTGCTTCAGGTCATGTAATATCTCTGCTTCTGGTCATTTTAACACATTTTCTGTATTTACAGATTTTATATTTACACAGAATGAAACCTGCCACACAAAAATCACTGACAAGTTTCCTAATTTTGACTGAATCTGATCGTGTCTTAGTGAAGGTCCTCAGAAGGATCCTCCTCTTTAACTTTAGTGAAGGTCCTCAGAAGGATCCTCCTCTTTAACTTTAGTGAAGGTCCTCAGAAGGATCCTCCTCTTTAACTTTAGTCGAGGTCTTGATAAGGACCCTCCTCTAACTTTAGTGACAGTCCTCAGAAGGATCCTCCGCTAACCCGAAGGTCCTCAGAAGGATCCTCCTCTAACTCCAAGGTCCTCAGAAGGGTCCTCCTGTTTAACCTTAGTCAAGGTCCTCAGAAAGATTCTCTTCTTTAAGTTCAGCTCAGGCCGAGAACCTTCTCCAGAACCTCTGGAACCAAAGGTCCAAAAGTCTGAAGCACAAAAATGAGCAGAAACAAGCTGAAAGTCCAACAACGCAAAGCTCCATGGGCCCATTCTCTTAGAGTGGTCAGGGTCAGAGGGGTCAGAGGTCAGGGTCAGAGGGGTCAGAGGTCAGGGTCAGAACAGTCAGATGTTTTCTTTTCTTTTTGGTTCTTACTTTTCTTGACCTTCTTCTCCTCGTCGTTCTCGCTCGCTCCCAGCAGCGTGAAGATGATTCCGGTCTGAGAGTTCAGCCCCACGGCCGAGACCACCATCCGCCCAGAGCCCTCCATCACGTGAGTGCCTGAAGAACGAGAAGGACAACACATGAGTCTGAAGAACGAGAAGGACAACACATGAGTCTGAAGAACGAGAAGGACAACACATGAGTCTGAAGAACGAGAAGGACAACACATGAGTCTGAAGAATGAGAAGACATGAGTCTGAAGAACGAGAAGACAACACATGAGTCTGAGAAGGACAACACATGAGTGAAGAACTGAGAACGAGAAGGACAACACATGAGTCTGAAGAAC